CATCCCCTGCTCCCCACCCCCATGGATCAAACCTGGCTTTCTCTGCTTTCCTTTTCCCTGCACTTTTCCCTAAATGCCAATAAAACCTTTTCTCAGTCCTGCACTTGGCTCCTGACGTCTCCAACCTTTCCAAGCAGCCCGCTGGGATCCTGCACAGTCTCAGGGGATTTCCAGCCCCTGATTCCCCGTTTGCTGCCTCATTTTTCCCTCAATTCCTCAAGTTTCAGATAAAGGGATAACCAGGATGTGCCCACCTGATCCCACAGACCAGAGCCAAAAGAAATTGGAGAGAAATTTAGGAAAACCCCTGCAGTAATTCCATTTTTGGTGTTAAATTATTCCAATTTAGCCTGGATCCAAAGAACCTCTTTGGAGTTAATTTAGTTCTAATTAATTACAGGGCAAGTGGGCCCCAAAAAAGCCCAGAAAGGCACAGAGGGAACAGCTCTGGATGGAGAATTTCACCTCTCCAGGGTATTCCTGGAGTCCCAGCACAGCCAGGGCTGGCACAGGGGACACATGTGACACAGCTATTCTCACTGAGAAATGAATTTAATTTAATTTAATTTTAAAATATATAATTAAAAATATATTATTTTTTAAATAGAATCATTTTAAGATAAAATAATTGGGAAAAAAATAAAATAGAATAATTTGAAAATACTTCTAAAATTGAAGAGTTTAAAAATTAAATACTTTGAAAATATAATGCAAAAGTAGGATAATTTTTAAATTAAATAATTTTAAAATTAAAAATACATTAATTTAAAAATCATATCATTCTAAAAATAAAATAAATTAAAAATATTTTTTTAAATTAAAAATTTCCCCCCTTGGTTTATTTCCAGCCCAAAGCATTCCCAAACTCCCTTGGGATAAAATAAATAAAATTATTTCAGTCTATCAGAAAGAGAAACAACTTCATAATTTTCACAGAGAGCACAAAAACAACACAAAGAAAGTGTCAGCACCTCGTTTATTCCCTGTTTGATTTATTCCCTGTTTACAGCCTGTGTCATCCCCATTCCCATGGATTTCCTTTTGGGAATTCTCTGGAAGTGGGAGGGAATTGATGGCAGATTTCACTTTCTGGGTCATTCCAAAGATATTTTGGGTTTGTTCCTAAAGCAGCTCCAGGAACCGTTTGTGGAAGCTTTTCCCTCTCTGTTATTTTCCCCTGCAGAAGGAAATATTAAATCCTCCCAAAATTAATAATAATTAATAAGTAACAATTAACAATTCCTTCCTGGAATCCTTCCTGGAATCCTTCCTTCCTCTGGAAGTTGAGGAACTTCCAGCCCATCTCTCTGCTTCCAGAGTGAAAAAGAAAACAGGAAAACCAAAATTGCCCAAGTGTAGGATCCCACTGATCCCAACTTTCCCTTTCTCCAGACCTTATTTCATTTTTCAGCCTCCTCTCCTTCCTGACAGCCCAAGGCAGCTTTTCCCACTCCATCCCAGGCTGGCAGGAGTCAAACTCCACTTCCCAAACCCCATCCATCAAATGTGATGGAGTTCTGCCCTGCCTGGGGAGGTGGCACTTCCATCCTTTCACAGCAATTCCACATCTTCTTCCTCACCCCAGCCTTTGTCCTTTTGGGGCGGTTCCGTGCAGGAAGAGGCTCCTGGATGGGTGGGATGAGCTAAGGCAGGAGTGGCCGTGCCCCTGTCCCAGCTGCAGATTCCAAACCTCCCGAGGGCTGGGGGAGCTCCTTCTCCTCTGGAATGTTCTCCCTTCCCAGCTCCATGGCCCCCAGACTCAGTCACACATCCCGGGGGGACACCAGAGCCCCCCGAGCCCCCAAAATGGGGAGAACCTCAGGGCCTTCCCAGGCTCTCCCTGCAAAGCAGCAGGGAAAAGGAGGAGCAAAAGGCACTTCCCAATTCCCTGCTGGCTCAGAAAAGGCTCTGCAAGGACAAGGGTGAAGGAAAATCCAGAGTGCAGGGAGGTGACAGGAAGGGAAGTGGAGGAACAAGGGCAGGGGTTCTGGGAGTGCAGAGCTCCACATCTCACCTGGCTGCTCCCACCACCAAAATCCAGGGATGTTATTTTTAAGCTTCCCTTATGACTAAAAAGGGACATTTCTGGATTTTGCCACTTTCAGGCCGGTGGCAGAGCCCAGAAAGGAGTCTCAGAAAAGATGGGAAAATTGAGCATAGGGAGGAAATGCTTTTTCTTTGTCTTATCCCGAATGCTCAGGGGTGGTTCATCCCAATTTATGAGATGCTCCCAGCACCACCATGGAGAGCATCCCTCTTGTACCAGTAAGAGACAGAAATTATCCAAAGGAGGATACCAAACCAGACCAAAACCCCGGCTGTGAGGAAGGAGAAGGTGCCAGATCAAGCAGGGAATGGTTTTGTACATTCAGAGTTTATATTTGGAAAAAAAAAGAGAGAGGAAGGAGAGGAGGAATTCGAGATTAAAAAAATAGAACTGATGGGAAGCGGTAGCGGAGCCTCCACCACTGCACAACAAACACACACACGGACACACGAGGCTGGACAACACGGACACCCCGGGCTGCAGCACCGGGGAACAGGAAACTCTGCATGGCTTTGTGGGACCCCTCGGTGGGAAACGAGCCGCTCACTCCTCCGTGTCTGCCTTGGCACATCCCTGAGTCACATCCCTGCTCCTCGACGGGGGCGTCGAGGCGCCTAAACGTGGGAACAGGGGGAAAAGAGGGAGAGTGTCAGCAGTGGGAAACCCAGAACAGAGACCCGGGAATTGGCCAGATGGGAAAAGGGATTTAAGGTCATCAAATCCAACCATCGACCACCATGTTCACCACTGGCCTTGTCCCCAAGTGCCACATCCGAGATTTTGGAACTCTTCCAGGGATGATGACTCCACCCCCGCCCTGGGCAGCTGTGCCAGGGCCTGGACAACCTTTCCATGAAGGAATTTTCCCCAGTATCCAACCTGAACCTTGCCTGGTCAACCGGAGGCTGTTCCCTCTCATTCTGTCCTTATTCCCTGGGAGCAGATCCCGAACCCCCCGGCTGTCCCCTCCTGTCAGGGAGTTCAGAAAATTCCCCCTGAGCCTCCCTCTCCCCAGGCTGAGCCCCCCAGGTCCCTCAGGAGTTCTCCAGACCCTCCTCCCGCTGCTCCAGCCCTTCTCCTGCTCCATTCCTAGTCTGGAGATGCCCCAGCCCCTCAGTGCCTCTCTGGGTGTGGGGTCCCAGTCTGATCTCGGGATTCCGGGTGCAGCCCCCACAGCTCCGTGCGGAGAGGGGCCGCTCTCCATGGTCCTGCTGCTCCTCCCAGGAATGTGCCCTTTGCTCGGCCAAAGCACAGGGACGCCCTGGGATGTGCTGTCCCCACAGGGTCCCACCACAGCTGGGCCTTTACCTCTTTCCTCCTGCATTCAGAGCGTTTCTGTGTTCATGGTCAGAGCCTTCCACACCGTGGTCTTGGACATCTCGTCCGAAATGTTAATCTCGGAAGGATCAGCCCTGCAAGGAATATTCCACATGGTGCTGCATGAGGATGGGTCTGATCCCACCAGGAGCACTGGAACCAGGGGAACAGGAGTGCTTGGAAAATCGGAGCTCAGCTGGAGAGGATGGTTTGGCTGATGAGGAACTTTGGGAATCAGCCTCAGAACTGCAGACCCACAGCTCCTGTTTCCCCCTGTCACCTCTCAGGTGGGAGCAGGAGGGTCTCCAGATGCCAGAAAGCCACTGGTGATGCAGTTTTGGAATAAAACAGGAATTATGCAGCCACTGTGTGGGGTCAGAGCTGTGCCACCACCTCCTAAGTTGCCAGTAAATTGGGATTTTCCCACTAAGATGACTGGACATAAAGCTGCAAGTGGAGAAACCTGAGCCAGACACTTCCCACTGCTCCTGCCAGGGGTCCTGACCTGGGGGAGCTTTACCTGTCACTGCTGGGCTTTGGGGTGTCCACCCTGCTGGTCTTGCCCAGCTTCAGCTGAACAGAATTCGCAGCAGCCGCTTCCATCATTTTCTGGGACTCCTGAAAAGAGATGAATCAAGTTCTCTTTCCTTGATCCAAGAGGGAATCAATGAAATTCCAGTAAAAACCTGGCATGCTGCCCTCTCCTCTGACCCCTGGCACCTTCAGCAGCAGGTAAAGACCTTCCCCTGTGGGTGTGTCTGGGGTTAGTGACACTGCTGGGAACAAACCATGACAGAAATATCATTATTTTTATTATAAGATTCATTTAAAAATTATAACAATATCCCTGTTCAGGTGTGAAACTCCCTGACAGTTTAGAGAAAAAAGTTCAGAATGTGGGATCCAGGCTGTGAGACCTGTTTGATTCAGTTCAGATGTTCCCTCAACAGCTGTTACCCAGAGAAGCCGTGGGTTCCCATCCCTTCCTCCAGCCTGGAGGTGTCCAAGGCCAGGTTGGATGAGCTTGGAGCACCTGGGGACAGTGGGAGGTGTCCCTGCCCACAACAGGGGTGGCACTGGATGGGCTTTAATGTCTGTTCCCACCCAACCCATTCCATGATCCCACGATTCCAAGATTTAAGGATGAGCTGTGACATGAATAGGGAATCTGTCCTAGGTTACAATGTAAAGATGTGCCCAAAAGTGAGAATTCTGTCACCATCTGTCAAACCAGCTGGGGCAGTGATCCTGATCTCTGTGGGGAATATCTGCTGTTGATGGGCCAGGTGTTAAAATCAGGTGTTGCAGGGTTCTTTATCTTGCCCACAGCCCATCCTCCCTCCAGGAGATCTCTCCTGTTCATGGCCATGCAGTCCCAGGGCAGGGCTGATCAAATTCCATCATCCCACTGGGAGATGCTCCAGCCAGGGGCAGGAGCCAAGAATTTCCTACCCAGATAAAAACTGAGATTTGGAACACCAACCCCTTACCCACTGGGTTCCAGAGGACAAGAGCCACCAGACCTTTCTACATGATCACTGCTTCAACAGGAGCACCTCACCTGGACTGCTGCCACCACCCTAACCAGTGCAGTGCCACGCTGTGTTCTCACTCTGCCAGTGGTTTTTCTTTTGTACTATTGAATGTATTTGATTTTTTCCTATTAAATTGTATTTCTGACTTGGAGTCTCTCACTGGTTTTGTTTTCAAACCAGTACAGAATCTCACAGCCTAGAGGAGGTTTCCAGCTCCTGGCGTTACCTCCTCTTCTTTGGCTTCATTTTTGGCATCGTCCAACTTCTTCTTCTTGCTTTCTGGCATGAGGTCATCCAGGAAGCTGAGCTCCCGCTTGGAGAAGCAGAAATCCATCACTTTCCGGACAAAAACGAGAGCCAAAACCTTCAGGAAGGAAAGGGATGATGGGTGAGGCCAGAGCTGGTGCTTCCATTCCTGCAGGGCTGCAAGCACTGGGAGCACTGGGGAGCACTGGGAGCATCAGGAACCCTGGGAACACCAGGAATATCATCTCTCACTGTAGAGAGACTCACAGCTGCTCTGTGAGCCAGAGAGGGTTAATGGATAAGGGTTATTTCTGAAAAGTATTCTATCAAGGCCTGGAGACCAAGAAAAGAAGAAGGAGAAGATAAGCAAGAAGGAACCTGAGCTGGGAAAAGTAAAGTTTTGGGGGAAACAGAGGCGTAGATTTTTACACCAATGAATGTTGTGTTGATCTACTGTAACCAAGGAGTGTAAACTTTGTAAAGTGTATAAAAGTGTAACAAATGGGATTTTAGCCTTCTGAGGTGTAGCGTGTCTATGTGTGTGTCACCCCCGCCCCTACAGCGACCTCTCACCATCATGGGGAAGATGATGGCAGCACGGGAAGCTTTGATGGCCCAGAGCAGCACGAGGCAGAGCAGCTGGATGAGGGTGAAGAGGTGCACCTTGCGCAGGGGCACGTGGCGCAGGTAAATGAAATCCGGCTGGTGCTTGGCCGGCATCCAGAACAGCTTCAGGCGGTCAAAGAACTGCAGGGAAAAGGGAGCACTACCAAAGCTCCTGGAGCTGCTGAGATGGGGAGTTTCCAGGAGCAAGGAGAAATCCAGGATCCTGTTCTGTTCCTCCTGGGAGCAGCACCTGTTTTCCCTTCGCGCCATCCAAAAACCACCTGGCTTTGCCCACCAGATTCCAAATTATTCCAGGTTTTTCTCTTGTCAGCATCTCTTGGCCCAGGGAATCCCCAGCAAGGATTCCCACCAGTGGAATTTTCTTCCCTTCACACCGAATTCCCCCAATTTCCCATCACCAAACACCAACCTGTTCTAAAGCCTGAAACAGAGAGCGCTGAGCTGGGCCCTGCCAGTGCTGAGCTGGGTTCTCCCAGTGCTGAGCTGGGCCCTGCCAGTGCTGAGCTGGGCCCTGCCACTGCTAAGCTGGGGCCTCCCAGCCCTAAAAACTTTCTGAGTTTCCACCCATCAGTCCCTGACACAGAACATTTGAATTTCCTGCTCTCAGAGACATTTTTTCCCATCCCAAGACCTTCAGGGAGAGGAAATTCCCCGGAGCAGCCATACCTGGATTCCTCGGAGTGACGAGACCCCCATGTACAGAAAGACCCCATAAAGCACTGGCATCGGGATAAACTGGGGAAAAATGCAATAATTAATGGCTTTACATTTCATTTGCAGTATTGACACTCTCTTTCACCACTCCTTTCTCAGGCACTGCCTGAAGATTCCCAGCTTTCCCATGTTGGATTTTATCCAGCACAGATTTTGTTCTCTGTGTCAGGCTGAGCTTTTGAGTAACATTTCATCAGAATAATCCTCTTTTCCAGAGAGGTTGGAGACAAAGAGGGGATTTCATCCATTAGGGCCACATTTCATCCATCTGAGACCTCCTGTGGGGGTAAAAAATGATCTCGAAAAACTCTTGTGGGAATGCATGGAAGTGACATCTCCTTTGAGCCTGGAATTGGGATTGAGTCCCTTTTGAGCCTGGAGTTGGGATTGTTTGGTGGGAAGAACAGGCAGGGAAGCCTGTGAGGGGAACTCTGAGGGTTCAGCTCCTGGGAATGGCTCTTATGAGGCTCTTGGGGAGGTGAATAAAGCCCTGCTTGTCTGAAAATGCTGAACTCTAACCCAAAACGGGGATGAGTGTGTTGCCATTTGCGTGGCAATGTCTGGGGAGCAGGGATGGCCTCCATGAGCTGCTGGAAGTTTCTTCCATGTCTGGCAGAGCCAACTCCAGCTGGCTCTAGGATGGACCTGCTGCTGGCCAGGGAGGGAGGGAGGGAAGGAAGGGAGGATTCCAGGAAGGAAGGAAGGATTCCAGGAAGGATTCCAGGAAGGAAAGATTCCAGGAAGGAAGGATTCCAAGAAGGAAGGATTTTAAGCTTTGGTTTTACTTCTCATGGTCCTGCTGTGATTTTGACACTAATAAATTCAATTAATATCCCTAATTCCAGCCTGTTTTCCCATGATGATGATTGGTGAGGGATCTGTCTCTGTTCTTATCTCAAGCCATGAATCTTTTTGCTCTATTTTCTCTCCAATCCAGCTGGGAAGGGCGGGGATAGACCAGCTTTGGTGAGATCCAGCCAGGATCCCTCTCACTTGTCTGGTGGACACTTGGGAATTAAGGGATTTGGATTGTTTGGGTCTGAAGGGCTGGGAAGTCACCGAGGCTGTTTCCCATCCTGGCTTGGGCATCACCTCCTGGGGGAGAGAGGCGCTGATTTCACATCCCCTCCCAAACTCCCGTGGGTCACCAGGTGGTTCCCATCCCGCTCTCACCTTGAGCACGAAGATCATCAGGCCGGTGACTCTCTGCTCCCGGATCCCCAAGAACTTGGGCTGCTCGCCCGGCGCGGAGCAGTCGGACTCCACTTTGAGGCTGTTCACGTGGGTGATGGACAGCACGGTGGCGGCCACGAACCAGGGCAGCCCCATCACCGAGCACACCCCGAGCATCACGGCCACCATGAACAGGTCCAGGTGGTACCCACAGCCTTTCTGGGGAGCAAAAATGGAACAGGGGACTCAGGGGACTCAAACCCTGCTCAAGCACAACTCCTGGGAAATGTAAATAAGGTTTGAAATAAGAACTGGAATCAAACGCAGATTTCACGTCTTGCATGAAAATCCGGCAGGATTAGACAAAGTGGGTCTGGAGGGTTTTATACCAATTTTTAAATTTATTCCTTTTTCATTCATGAAGGAATTCCCAGCACTTGCAGGTAGGACGTGGCTCTGAGTGATCCCTAGAGTTCATTGAGACCCCCACCCCAGCTGCCCCTGACATTTGGCAAGAACCCCACCCTTCCACATCATTCCAAGATTCTCTTGCTGCTCCCAAAAGTTGTCTTCCCCTCCCTGTGTCCAGCAGAGCTTCTGCCAGGCAGCCTGGTGTTATCCCAAACCTTCCCAAAGCGTTTGGGACAGGAGCTTGTCCCAGCCCTGCAGCCCGAGTGGGGTGGGGATGGGGTCACCTTGAGCCTGTGCTCCTTCCTGTTGACGATGACAGCCGTGATCTGCTGGTCCATGAAGATGAGGATGGTGCAGAGCAGGGCTGGGATGAGCGCAGCCAACACGGTCCACCAGGGGTTGGGCCCAATGGGGTTGATGAGCCACCCACGGTCATCCCTGGTGGGCTGCAACACGTGGTGGGATCAGCTCCCAGCCCCAACCCTTCCCTGGCCTCCACTCCCCTCCATCCCTGTGTCCAAGCATTTCCCAGCCCGGGCTTCGTGTCACTCTCTCCCAGGGGACTTGGCTGTGCCAGTGTCCTCTGTCCCAGAGTCCCCTCTGCCCCGGTTTTGGGGCTGTTTTCCCAAAAGACAGGAAGGAATTGGTGCACTTGGATGTGGCAGAGGAGATGCTCACACCACCAGCACCTCCTCCAGCCCAGCCCTGTGATTCTCCTGCTCAGTGTCTGGTTTTGGGGCTGCCTCCTGATTTCCAGGGGGGGATTGATGCTCTTGGATGTAGAAGAGGAGATGGTTCCACCATCAGCACCTCCTCCAGCCCAGCCCCGACCTGCCCTGACATCACCTGGTGGTACCTGAGGTGCCAAAAAGCTTTCTCCACCAATCCCCAACCCCGTTACCTTGAACATGTGGGGGACGTGGAGCTTGGGGGACGGGATCCCAATCCCGAGGTCGATGAGCACCATGATGACAATGGTGAGGAACACAGCGAAGTCACTCACTGTGGATCGGACCTGGGGCGAGAAACCGGGGCTGAGAGGGGCCAGACACGAGATGGGAAACCTGGGGACACCCACCATGCTTGGATTGGTTAATCCCTAAAATCCCACCGCTCCAAGGACATGCTCCCTTGGATGGGTATTGCTGCCACGTTGGAGATCTGGGGATCTGGTGTGGGAAAGTAGAAAAAGTTTAATTAGGGGGCAAATTCAAATTTTAATTCAGGCATTAACAAAAATGCTAAAAATTACGAAAGGTGCTACGCTTCTGGGTAAAATGGGAATAAGGCACTGAGGCATCATTCGTTCCTGTTTTTCCATGGCAACTCCTCATTTGAATGCCACTCCAGAAAACGATGCTCAGAAGGGGAAAAGAAATAAAAAACTTTGGAAGAGCTGATTTCCCATTGCCTGGGCCAAAAACATTGCTCTGGAAGAGGTCATGAGGCAGGTGGGGAATGCTACAACCTCTCTGCACTCATGGAAGTGAGGGAGGGATATCCCAGGTCAGCTTTTCCTGAGCGGTGGCAAATCCTGCAGTGCTCCAGGAACAGCATTTTGGGAAAGGAGATGGAGTCTGGCACAGGCCACCACCTTCTACCTACTCTGGTAGGGAAGTAACGGCTGGTTTTAAATTTCTTCAACAAACTCGACAGGACAAAGGTGGAGAAGAAGAGGATGCAGCACCAGAAGAGGACGTTGGGCGCGTAGGGGCCGTTGTGTCCACAGGCAGGTCCTTGGAACTCCCCGTGCAAAGAGCGACATTCCTGGAGAAACAGAGCACCGGGACAGGGAGGAAAACTGGGATAATGGGGAGGGGGGTGTTGAGGGTCTTGGTGCAAGGTAATGGGCAGCAGTGGCTGAACAAGTGACACACGGAGCTGGAATTGCAGAGGGGAGCAGAGGTGGGGTGGGGTGGGACACCATGGACCCACAGCACATCCTCCACTCCACCATGGCTGAGCAAAACACTGGAGAGGAGGGAAAAGCTGGAAATTTGTGGATAAAGAGGGAACAGGGAAGGAGGGCTGGGACAACCATGGGATGGAAAAAGAGACAAATCGTCCCTTTGCAGTCAGAGCTCTCAGGACAAGGCCAAAAGGGGCTGGAGATGTCCCAAGGAGCTCCTGTCCCATACCTGAGCTCTGCTCCCAGGGACAGTCCCTGTGGGGCTGCTCAGACATGCAAATTCACTCAAGACCCTACAGACAACAGGGCCCAGAGTCATTAGGAAGCAATTAAGGGAGCCAATCACTGCCTTCAGGCAGGAACTTCAGTCCTGCAAATGCTCCAAGAATCAAAGCACTCAACTTTGATCGAGGTCCCACAGCCCAGCTGAGTGGGACAGTTCTTATCCCCAGGGCTGGGGACAAAGTGAGCTGGACCAGGTGGGATGGGCAAGGTGAACTCTCCCTCCCAGGACCAAACAGGTTAACAGTACTCATGAGACTTAAGCAGGGACTTCCCAGAGCACTTTGAAGCCCAAAGCCACCTGAAGATGGTGGCTGTGAACGCCCCTGGCCTCCCCTGGCCTCCCTGAGGAATTGGTGGCCAAAGGCACTTACGGTCACTGTGAGGTTTCCCCAGGTGATTCCCGACACGTTGATCCCATTGCTCCGCCAGAAGCGCAGGGTTTCGTTGCTGGGATGAGCCGGGGGCTCACACTTACAGCTGGAGGAGGGAAACCAGGACAGGGCTGAGGGAACAGCACCAGGACAGCCCAGAGGCAGCTGAGGGGTGAGGAGGAAACACAACACCCACTAATAGATGGTGAGGAGGTCGAGCTTGCTGTGCATGTGCACGGGGAAGGTCTCCCGCAGGTGGCTCAGCTTCTCCAGGGCCTCGTAGATGAAGATGATGCAGATGAGGGAGGCGAAGGCCTCCTCGGTGAAGCGGGTGATGTAGCACACCAGGCAGCTGGCGTCCGTGGCCACCAGCACCACGCAGAAGAACGCGGTCCAGAGCCCGATGCACGTCCGCAGGGACAGGTAGGAGAGCTTGTATTCCCTGGGAAACCACAAAAACTCCTGGGGAAAGGCCAGCACTGGCCTTGGAGCCAAGGCTTTCTCCAGAGAACATGAGGAGCAATGTGGGAGCGTGTGGAGGTTGAAGGTGGCAATTGAGGCTTCCATGTCTTTGAGGTTGCAGGGTGTGGGTGGAGAAGCCAAGTGTTTAATTAGCATTAATTAATGTTGTCTTAATGCCTTGAAGGCTGATGGAGGTTGTGAAGATTCTCTCACATCCCCCAGAGCCCTGACACCCAAACCAGCTGGGTTTGCCCCAGTCACCCACAGCCAGCTTGGGGCTGAGTGAGAAGTTTAATTCCAGTGAGGAGAGTTAATCTCACACCAAAGTCACCAGGAGGAAAAGACTGTCATAGAAAAGAGCTATTTCCCAGGAAAAGCTCCTACTTATTCAATAATATCCCCAAAACTCAAAATATTCCAAGTGAAAATTACATGGATATTTGGGCAAAATCTATTTCATCTTCCAGCAAAAAACAGGTTTAAAAGTTTTGTACTCAGTGGAAAACAAATCCTCCCTCATTCCCAAACCTGAGTGATTTTTCTCACCTTCCTTGGGCATCCATCCAGAGCCTCTGGTTCCTCCTTCTCCTACTGCTTCATTTTAACCCTAAAATCTCAAAATTACCCCAAGCCAAAAACCCCAAATGACCCCCAAGCCCAAGGGCTCTCACGCTTCCAGTGTGACAGCAGCAGCATGAGACCACTGTGACCCAGCAAATCTGACAACTCCCACCGAGAAAATGAGAACAAAAACATCTTCTCCCTGCCCAAAAAAAGAAAAAATTTCCCCCCTCCCCAAAAAAAAATAGAAGAAAAACATCTCACTTGCAGAATTTGTAGAGAATCTTCTCAAAGACCAGGACAGGTCCAGTGCTGCCAAGGATGGTGAGGGGCTGGCCAGCAAAGAGAGAATAAACCACGCCTGTCATGGATGCTCCCAGCAGTGACTCCATGGCACTCTGAAAGGGAAGAGAGGGAGCAGGGAGTAAATAAATCATGAGGGATAAAAAACCCCCCAAAAAACCTAAAGGAAGTTCCCAGCAGCCAAGAGATTTCAAAGATTACAGAGAGGGTTGGGTTGGAAGGGACCAACGGGTTGGGTCGGTGGGGACTGGTTTGGGCTCCCCACACACGCCCCATGGGCAGGGACAATTTCCACCAGGCTGGGGGGTCACTCTGGGGCGTTTCCCCCTCCCCACGCTCCCGACAGAGAGAGGAGCTCACGATGTGGCCGTGGGTCGCCTCCCCCAGCAGTCCCCCGAAGGTGATGACAGGGGACATGCAGGCACAGTAAAGGAACAGGAAGGACGCCAGGCACTGCAGGCTCAGACCGTCCCGAAAGTCGCTCCAGAACCACGGGGCTTTGCGCTTCACATCCAGGACCAGACCCCCAAAGAGCCTGCAGGGAGGGAAACCAGGCTGGTCTCTTGGGAGAGCTCCTTTGGTGTCCTTTGTGCAGAAAATGCAGAAACGCCTGGACGTGTTTCCAGAACTGCCCCCGCCCCAAAGTCAGGAAACCTGAGTGTGCTGATGCTGGGGCTGGGCTCACCTGCCCAGGTGTCCCCCCTGCCCAGATCTCCCACCTTCCCAGACCTCCTCCCTGCCCAATCTCCCACCTCCCCAGATGTCCCCTGCCCAGCCCAGGGGAGCAAGGTGGCAACGTGGAGCCCTTTCAACTGATCCAAGTGACCCCAAAAGCTGCTGGAAAGGGAGGTGCCTGCTTAGATTTTGGGGGCAAAACAGAAGAAGGCCCCAAACCAGGAGAGCTCCCACCTCCCAGTCCGCTCCAGTTCAGGGCCGCTGTGTTTCTCTGGTTTGCTGTGGGAAGAACTCTCATCCAGAGCTCCTGGCATCTTCCTCTTTTCCTGTGGACATGGAATTCAACTCAAAACAGGTATTCTTCAGGTGTATTATCAACCACCAGCTGGTTTTGTTCCTGGCCTGGGTGTGGCTGTGCCAAACCAGGAATTCCAAGTTTACCAGAATTTGGGTTGTTGTTGCAGCACCCACCTGGGAGGGGACGTTTTTGGGGGGCTCGATTCGGATGGATGGGTCCCACTCTCCTGGCGGCAACACCGTGACCTGATCCAGGAACTCATCAATGCCAGCCACGAGGTCAGCCCGGTCCTTGGCTTTGTAGGCAACATCGTGGAAAACCTGCCCAGAGGAGACTCCCAGGTGAGAGCACAACCCATCCCAGGTGAGGGCACAGCCAGCCCCAGGTGAGAACACAACCCACCCCAGGTGAGGGCACAACCCGCCCCAGGTGAGGGCACAACCCATCCCAGGTGAGGGCACAACACACCCCAGGTGTCCTCCCCAGGGCAGCTCCCCTCTGGCTATGCCAGGATCACCTTCCCCAAATCTCCTGCTGGAAATGTCCCCCCAGCAGGAGGAACCCGGGCACTGTGGTGCTGTGATCATCTCCTCCATGAGGTCACTCCCTCATGGCTTGGAGGAGGAGAAGTTCCACCACCCTGGCAGTGCCACCCCTGGGATGGGGAAGCCCTGGATGTGGGAAGGGTGAGGTGAAGGAATCCCAGTGGGATTTCTGCCCTGCCACACTGAAGGTGTTGTGTTAAAGGAGAGAAGTTCTGGCCCAGGAGATGCCACCACTGGGGACAATGTCCTGGGTACCCCGTAGGGAAGGATGGGGTGTAGGATGCACCCAGGGGGAACTTCAGCCCCCAGGATTTGGGGTGATGTAAATCTGCCTGGTTTGGGGGTGAGAATGAAGGGCTGGGACAGCAAATCCTCTTCCTCACTGTTCCAGGGACAGGGAATGGTGAAGAACCCCAAAAGTGACCTGGAGATCCCCCTTATCTGTCACACCTCATCTGTCATGGTGGTGGCCATGGACCTGCCGATCTCGTGGTACTGATGGGCTTTTCCTCCTGGCCCCAGCAGAACAAACAGGAACCTGGGCAAGGAAAACCAAACTGAGAGAGGGGAATGGGGCTTCACTCCAAGAGCACCCCGGGAAATCCCTGGGACCTCAAAGGGGAACGTGTTGGTTCCCTGCCTCCTCCAGGGGCTGAATTGTTCACCAAAACCAATCACAAATCTCATTTGGGGGCCACTTTCATTAAAATTGGTCCATAGGTTCCAAAGATCCAGCAGGGAAGGGAGGAAGGTGAGGAGTGCCATGGCAGAAATGTGCAGCTCCCACTTTTTCCCTTGGGTCCCAAATCGTGGGGCAATTTCAGGTGGGTTTGGGGTTTGTTTTTTTAAATAAAAACTTTGTGTTTCTCCTTCAGACCTTGTTGGGATGGGAACTTCTGTCATTCCCGACAGGAGCACAGCTGGGGTGAGGCGGACAAAGGCCACGAGGGGCTGGTGGAGGAAATCCAGCTCTCCCACCAGCACGTTGGACGCCTCCGCTCCGCTGGGAATCTTCTTCATGAAGTGCAGCTCCGCCTGGGCAGGACCAGCCATTCTTAGGGAATCCCCCAAAAACAAAACCCTCAGGGCCCCCCTGGAGGTGTGGGAGAGGTGCAGGGGTCTCACCTTGCTCAGGTCCATGGCACTGGTCTCAGGGGTCACCCCGTTTTTAGCTTCTGCAGTGGTGGGAGAAGGGTGAGGGGTGAGGGTTTGGGCTGGGAGGGAAGAGAAAGACACTCAGAAAGGAAGGAAAGGAGGAGCTGGGGTGTTTGTTATTTGCCAGAGCAAGTCTAATGGGGGCAAATCCACCCAGAAACCCCCATGTGGTGCCAAAGCCTGGAGAAATCCTCAACTGGTGTCAAATCCCTGGAGAAACCTTCACCTCAGGCTAAAGACAGGCAGAGGACCTCACCTGGAGCTAAAGCCCCAGGAGAAAACTTCACCCAGTGCAAATTCCTGGAGAAAACTTCACTTGGTGCCAAATCCTAATAAAAAACTTCAGCTGGTGCCAAATCCTAATAAAAACCTTCCCCCGGTGCCAAATCCCTGGAGAAACCTTCACCC